ATTTGCTACTGAGTGATGGACTGAATGCAAATTTGTTTGGGCTTGATGTGCAAAGTATCCAATTCCTAACCATGGGGGACTGGCACAGGGATTTCAGCCAAACGGGACTGCTAAAGATACCCAGGCTCCTGAGGAAGGGGTCTGTTAACCCTCTGCAGACGCCTGAAGAGCAAAAATAAATAAATCAACCAAAGCCTCCTACCTTGGAGACAAATTGGGATGACAGGAAAAGACTGAACGAGGACTAAAATGGAAACGAGGAGAACAAATGTTCCTGCCAGGCAGCAGGAAGCGTCGTCCTGACACGGAGCCGCGCTCTGGGACCGGGGCCCAGCGCAGCGGGAGGCCCGACGCTGCCGGGATGCTCGGGAGAGGGCGGCCGAGGGGCGCCCGCGTCCGCCGCCGCCGCGGGTTCTTTTTGGAGAAACGCGTCCGGTCTGGACGTGACCTGGGCAAACGCACCGCAAGGTGCCCGTGGGGCAGCCCCCGGCCCTCCGAGCGACGCGAACCAGGAGGACAGGCTGGTTCGTGGGAAAACAACCCCGTAAGGATGGGCAGAGTCTTGTCAGCGGGGCTGGGGGGACGAGCAGCTTCAGCATCATGTTTCAGTGCCTACGATGCAGCGCTCCTGTTTTGCTGCCAGCTGCGGGCCTGCATGGGGCTCCCCTCCGGGTCGTGCGGCGAAGCCTGCGCCCGCGAGGCGCAACGCGCTCCCGCTCCGGAAGGGCTTCCCACCCACGCCGCGCGCCCCATGGCAGCAGACGGCCCTTCTGGCAGCCTGGATTCATCCCGGCTAACTTTAGACCCTTCACCGAGGCCCTCAAAATAGAAGTCCACCCACTGTGGTCCTCCTGCCATCAATGGAGGAAGGGAAGCAGGGAGGCGGGAGGCGCGGGCAGGAGCAACGTGCCCGCGGCTGCCCCCGCAGCGGAGGCGCTGCCGCCTCCTGGGTTTTCCGTGTCCCGGCGGAGCGGGGCTGCGCGGAGCGCCCGTGCACCGAGCACTGCGGTCCGAAAAGCCGCTCGTGTGGCGACTGTCACCACCCGGGCCCAGAGTTGAAAATAAAAGCGCTAATTGTATCTAAAGGAGCTTAAATGAAAACTAATTAGGCTTTTTGGAATAACCTGTTCTAAGTGATCGATATTTGCAATTACGTAGGAGGGCCTATCAAGCCGTGTTGTCTCAGTGACTCCAGCGGGAGCTCGTTGACACTTTTTCCACTCTGAAGCTCGCGCTTGCTGGTGGTTTTCACTGGTTAACCAGGGAGCTTTCAGAGAGGCCTCCTTTGCGTGAGCGCTGCGGGGTCCCGGCCAGCAGTGCCGCGAGGTGGGAGAAGCCCCTTACTTGTGCGAGACGATGGGGGGGGGCAGCTGCTTGTGGGCGCCGGCCAGGACGCACTTGGGCGCGCGGAGCAGCGGGATCCAGCAGCTGGCCTCGAGCGCCTGCGCGCACTCGTCCAGCACCACCACGTCGAAGTGCCCCTCGGGGAGCAGCCGCAGGGGCCCGTCCGAGGAGGCGCCTGGGAAAACGACACGGACCCGGCTCGGCACCGGGAGCGCTCGCGGCGCGGATCGCGCGCGCTTCCACCGGGAGCGCGGGAGGGAGGGTGGGCTTTCCCAGCTGGGATTTTCCAGCTCCCTTCTCCAGCGTGTGCCAAATGTATATGCGCTTATATGTATATGCCAGGATAGTTTTTGCCAATTTCTGCTTGTCCTTTTTTTGCGCTGGCACCTGGGCCTGAAGCTTCCAAGCAGCTTTGCGAATGCCAGCGACACACGCGATGAGCAGAGCAGCACGACAACGTGCCCGACCGATTCCCAGCGCCGGAGCCCAGCAAAACGAGCACCCGCCTCCCTCCTGCCCGCGGCTGCAAACGAAACCGCGCAGCGAGCAGAGCCGCGGGCCGGGACACGGGACACGGGACACGTCCGTCTCTGTAATGCCAAACTCCTCAGCCCGCACAAAGGGCCTGCCATAATCCAGGCACAACGTGGTATTGATCCGGGCATTGATCGGAACTACAGGTTTGAGAGGCAGCAAAAACATCACGGCCATTAATAACAAAAAGGAGGCCAGGAGTGAGTAAGAAGCCAGCGAGCCAGGCAAGGAGACTGCTGCTTACAGCATTTACAGAAATGCCCTTTCGAAAGCTCCTCTGCTATTGCAGCGTGGCTCTGAGAGCAGCTCTGATTAGGGATGATTTTGCTTTGCTGCTGTAAATCCTGCTGCCCCTACGGCTTTGCAACAGGTCAGGTATTACAGTTTGTCAACTGAGACACTTCCTTTTTTTTTCCCCCCCAAACATAATATGAATTGCCTCTGGTCAAAAGGCACACGCAGCTCGAACTCGGCTTTTACAGTTTGCAGTGTGGCAGGTGGAAGGAAAAGGCTTTAATAAAAAGGGTCCCTCCATCTAAGAGGAGACTGCAGCACCGTGGCAAACACTGTGCGGATGTTTGCTCCCTCCCAGCCCTACAGACAGGACTTTATTGAGCCCCCATTAACTAAAGGTCACTGGTATCCCTGTGCATTGCCATGATTAAATTCTCCCTCTGCTGAGCCTAGCAACAGAGCAGTTTGGATTGCATAAATAAGTCCCATCGAACGAGGCAGTTCAAGACAAACACCGAGACTGCTGCAACTGCGGAAAACACAAGAATCCCTTTATTTATCTGTTTGCCCACTACTTTTCTGCCGAATAGATTTGTAAAAATGGCTAGCAAGCCCCAGAGCCCCAGGAGGGGATTTTGTCTGACCAATGCAAAATATGGGTGCTACTAAAAAAAAAAGAGAGAAAAATCAGCTCTCCTCCTCCTTTTTAGGCAAAGTTACAGGAGGAAGAGACTAATTCCCAACAAATAACACGATGAAAGGATTTCTCTCTCACTTAAGCCTCCATGTCAGTGCCTTGTGGATGCCCTGTGATGCTCTTTGTCATCACCTAGAATTATTCCATTTTTCTTTAGCAAATAACGCCTGTGTGACCAAATCTGAAGATTATAACCAGGCTCTGGTATATTGTGTGTGTGATCAAGAAAAGCTCTCTACCGTGTGTAAAATGTTAAGAATTTGTGTTTTCCCTTTGGTTGCACTGGTGCTACTCCTCTCCACATAGATGCAGATGTGCCTACAGCTCCCTAAATCCCACGTGGTTTATTCCACTTGGGCAAGATACACAACCAACCGACCACCTGCACCCCAGCGAGTGCTGGGAAGCCCTGAGGTCTCTATAACAGGTGAAAAAGCCCCTGCTGCTCTAACATGGGTGGTACTGCATGAGAAAGGGGATCTCTCACCTGTATTCGTAGCAAGGATGACGCTGGCACGGGTAAGGGCTGCGGTCATGGCAGCTTCTTCTCGTTCCTTCAGCTCCTTTCTCAGCACCTTTATCTCACTGAGAAAGTGGCTCCGTTCTCCCTTGTCTTGAGCCTTTTTGGTTTTCGCCTGTAAAACAGAAGAACCGAGGTAAGACAGGCAGTTTCTAGGCCTGGCTGGAGGCAAGGCAGCACATCGGGATGGGAGATGCTGGATCTCTCAAGCTGGATGCAGCTGCAGAACCGCTTCTGAACACTGCTGCCCCCAGAAGGGGAAGGGGGGAGTCCAATTAACCTCAGAAGCTGTTATCTCAAGTGAAAGAGCTACTTCTTAAATTAAGTTTAAGAAAATTAGATTACAAAAGAAGAGATTAAGGATGTGTTTTTATAGCGTAGTCTGCATTCTAATTGAGGCGGCTGGGAGGGAGAGGGAGCATCAGGACAGCCAGACAGCTAATTAGGCAGTGAAATAGTGATGCGGATGCTTCCCCCGGCGGAGAGGATCTCTCCAAGGATGCCAGGCCAGCTCGGGGGAGCTGAGCCCCACAGCAGCTCCCCGGCAGCGGCAGCGGCCGCGGGGACTTGGCTGCTCTGA